TAGTTATGAACTTCGTCTATTTCATTTTCCCTACTCTTCTCATAATTTCTCAAAGGTGCGCAGATTTTTACCAAGACAAAATCAGAGATTTGCCTCAAATGGAGTTGAAATGTGCAATTGTTTGCTCCTTTGAATCAAATCTATAGATACAAAAAATACATATTTTAAACCACGATACGTGATCAGGTTGTGTTGTTTCAGGTCTTCAGCGAGTATCCCAGAAGATGGTACTGTGGCAGTTTCTCCTAAACATGTGTTTGCACAGACTTTACAGAAAGTTGATTTCAGAAGAGCCTACTATTGCTGTAGAGTCGGAACCACACGCCGTTCCCCTAGCACATGCTCACGTCGCTCCAATAGCTCCAGCCGTTCCTGTAGCTCCCGTCGCTCCATTGGTAGCATCTGTCTCTGCTGTTCCTCTAGCTTCTGTCTGGGATTACCATCATATGTTCCCGGTACACTGTAGTTGGAGTCACATCTTTCCAAATTATTATTTCATAGAAAAATTCCTTTTTCAGTATAATCATTACTATCACCCTCGCTCTGCAATCCATAATGTGGCGAAGTCTTATGCTAAAGGTTTTCTCATCGTTTCCATTTATTACTTATTGTTTAATTGATTTTCTCCTTTATAGAGACGGGCCATGCTTCTGCAACTTCGGTAGTTTCCGAAAGCGGACATCTTCCACATAGTTTAGGACTACATTTGCCAAATCTGGCAAACTCATTGTTTTATGCCGAACCGTGGAAATCACGTCTTCACCACCAAAAGGCTGCTAAGAAAATTCTCAAGATTCACAAGGCTGTGAACACAAAAACACATTAAAATTCAAAGCAGCTCTCAATCACTCTATCTCTGGTCTTGATAAAGAATATGAATTTTTTAATAATACGTGACTTTGTACATTTATAGTAGCATTGTAAAATCAGTATACAGTGGTAACTGATGGCAACTTCACCAGACTATTTTCGCTATGTTGCTGCTACTTTTTGATATCGCATTTACACATAAAAGAGAAAACTGTAAAATGCAACTAAAGCTGGCTTTGCAATGATGAGGATTGTCTCGACATCTAAGTGGCATAATCATCAAGTTGCAGTAATGCGAGCTTGTACTGTTCTGTTAAAGATCCTGATGAAGGATGTTGGCTGCAGTATCGTCGTTTCACGCATTTTCAAGGTTTAAACACGATGTATGAGGTATTTGACTCGAATCGCCTTGAGTGCGCTGTGAGTTAAAGAAAGTAGACAATTTTGTTGATTCAGACTCAAAGTTAGAACTTCAGTCTTCGAATCAACCTAGTCGTAGGTTTGGCCGCCGGTCTGTTGTCGCGTTTTAAGACGGGTAAGAATACATACCAAACCGTCAAATTTGACTGATCCAACATCTGTAAGTTTGAAGAAGGCGGATATCCGCTAGTTGCTCAATTTTTACATGTGGCACGTAAATTAGTTCTCTTACCAGATTCGTGCATAGTACTGTAATAAGGTTATCATTTTAAAAAAGGAAATCTGATTTTAATCTGCCAATTTTATTTGCGTATACGAAGCTTACTGTTGCTGGAAAAGTGAATCCAACCTGCCACCTTGAAAAGGAACCTTTTCTTTGCAAGAAGGAGATCAGTAGGCTAACTTTGTTGTATTGTCAGATAAAATTGTTCAAAAAAAAGGAGAAGTGCCAAATTTAAGAGATCCATCGGTACAGAATTCTACTTTATGATTATTGTCCAGTAATTTATATGACTCGCAAGGTAAATCGTGCGAATCATAACGATGAGGATCTTATAAATTACGACTTCGTTGCGCACAAATGGTGTTTATACTTTTGAACAACTCGAAAACCAACCTATAGATTAGAGAATCCAATCAAAACTTTGACCTAACGGTCATAATTAACTCGTAGTTATCTCGCACTTCCATTTTTGTAAGGACCTAACTTCGAATCAACTGCCAGTTATGATAGGAAATGGTGGTTGAAACTCCACGT